GAAAACAGTCCCACATGAGACAGGGTGAGAAAGAAGGCACTGCGGTATTTTATTCTGAGCTTGATGACGCCTTTCTACAAGGCACTGCCAGAGGAGTTCTAGAAGATGGAGTCACCAAAGTGTTGTCCACTTTGGGCTCAGTATTCGGCATAGACCTGAGGTGTCAGGGCTGCAATTAACTATGGTAGAGCAGCAGACACAACTGCATCTCTCTTTCTCCAAGCAGAGAGGTCTGTATCCCTCTCCAGAGACATCCCTCCCTCCCTTCACTCCCTCTGGAGAGAGCCAAAGGCAACAAGCTTCCTAGCCTTGACACCTCCGATACGTGTGAAGATGGTTGGGTTGAATGCAGGCCTAAAATATTTTACATTTTCACGGTAGTTTCACAGCCCTGGCATTATCAAATGATCTTTCAATATACTTGGAAGAAGGAGGAGAATAACTTGAGATGGATTCTGGCTTTTTTGTGTCTGTGTACTTGCAAACTGTCTCTGCCTACACATCTTGCAGGGACTGTGCCTGTTTGGAGATGCACACAAAAAAACGGTGTGGATGCTCCGTCTGCTCCATTCCTCCCCTAAAGTTTGGAGGCCGTTCAAAGCAGGTCCCCATCCCTGGGTGGTTAAGATCAAACTTGCCCTGTGCACTGTACTCCACTGACCAGGCTAGCTAGGAACTTGAGGCTAGGAAACACGAGACAATTTTAAAATCTGAACAAAAGTAGGAGATTAAGGAAACCAGCTGGAAACCTCTATTTTGCTGATTTTGAAAGCAAAATGTGGGTCACAGATGTGCTTCTACAGACAGAAACTGGATGGAGAAGAAAAAGACATCAGCAGTGCCCAGACTCTTTGATGATCAGAGGTAGATTTAGCTCCTAGGCATGGAGACAAGAAAGGAAGAGGAGACGAAGTAGGAATAAAAACATAATCAAGAGATTAGGAATGTGGAACTCAATCCACCCATAAATTTGCCTTAGGGAATGAAGAAAAATGCACTAACAAAAAAAGATGAAATCAACTGCTCCATCTTACTCTCTTCCCTTCTCTTGCTGTCCTTACGGTTTTGGTTTTTGCTGTCCAAGACAGAGGAGGCCTCTTACAGAACCTCTCTTCTTCCTCAGTCATGTCTTTTCTTTGCAGAAGTGCTGTTTTCTACAGTTCCCTTGCAGTAGCTATGAAATCCTTGCTAAGGACAGGCTGTGTTTAGAGCCAGAAGAAGTTTTGCAGGCATGCATAGGAAAGTAGAAAGCAAAGTGCTCCTGCCCATCTTTGATAGGAGAGAAGAGCTATTACTCACTTCTTGGTTAGGCTAATACGAAATATTAAATCTATTTTCAATGACGTTAATAATAGACTAATAAGAGCCATGCTGCTAGCTCTCGCAGGCTGTTGATTAGCCTGTGACTTGGCTTCCCAGTGGCCTTAACAGAAGGCCTGTTGTTCCAGCCATTTAAAAACCTCAAGGTAAAGCACTGGAAGAGCCATGCAGGACAATGGCAGCCCTGACTCGGAGAATTCCAAGTGGGGGTTTCTTAGAAATAGCAAGCAGGAGAGGGTGGGGGTTCTGAAAAGCATTCAGGGCATTTAGCGGGTGGTTTCTGGGGTGAAGGGAAGTGCCTGGACCACTCCTGAAGGTCCTGTGCTGGCCACGACAGGACCTGGTCATTGGGTGCCTTCGGGCTTTGCGACATGTGCTGAGCAGCCGTCATTGCGACCTCTGACTCCTGCAGCAAACTTCTGCCAGCACAACATCAGGCCCTATGGCTTAACACCAAGAGAAGCCTAAAGATGAGTGATGCTAGTCCAGCTCAGTGCCCAACACCCTTTTTCAGACTTTAGGGAACTTCAAATTCAGCTCTTGCCTGGAATTTATTTTTCTCAGCCCTAAGGAAAACACATTTTGTAGCTGGTAGTGTTTTAGATCCAATATCAGTGTCAATAAAAATAAATCCTTTCCTGGGGGTGGGGAAATAAAAAACTGTCTCAAATCTTTTGCTCATGCAGAAGAAAACAACCCCAAAGCATTGAAGGATTAAATGAAAAATATGCCTCCTTTCACTGGGTGTCCACTGGGCGTGAATAAGTGCCAACTGAGCTCTCACTCGCATCACCATCTGGTGTGATGGCACCAGGGCCTAGAGGTGCAGCGGGATGCGTGGCAGTGCCCTGCCCTGTGACAGCATCTCTGCTCCTGGTGACGGAACCACCAGAGGCTCCTAAACGACAGCAGGTCTGTAAATGCGAAGGATTTTGTTATCTTCAGCTTCACCATCTCACCTAGCCCAGAAAAAACAAGTGTCCAGCCGCATCACAATTCCAAGAGTGGCTCAGGAGGATTGTGTGTCCTACTCTGAATGTGAGATTTTGTTAAAGATGCTGAGGTTCATTTTGCTGGGCTGCAACCACACGTTGATATTGCTGTGAATACCAGAGCACAGAGCCACTTCAGATGATGTCTAGAAACTGCTTGTGGTTTCAGAGCTCTTGCTGATGAATTGCCCGGCAGCTGGTCACATTGGGAGGGCTATGCTTATTATTTTCAACTGCTATCTTGTATGGAAGGAAAATCAAAATACTTTCCTCAAGGTAATTGGCTCTAAAACAATTGAAGAATTTTCCACAAGGTTGTAATGCAATCAGGACTGGCATTTTATGCAATTTATATCTCCAAAGGTATGTTTATGCCATCAGACTCTTTTGTGAAAAAAAAAATGCTGGCAAGAGGAGGCAGATTTTGCTGTTACAGGCAATGAAGTGTAGATTAGACATGGATGTCCACCTAGTAGTGATTAAAAGGCAGCATAATGTCAGGATTCTCACTGAGATGCAGTCGCTCGTGGTGAGAAATGGTTGGGTAGGATGCTGTAACACCAACCACACATCTGCAGGTTTCCCATTTGGCTTTTGGTCAATGCCAAGTGATGTGTCATCACTCGCCTTCTGCTGTGGCACCGCAAGAGCAGGAATAATCCTGCGCTCCCTAACTGCCCTGCCAGCTTGGGTGGGAGGAGCTGGGGCAGACTGGGGGCGATCAGACCCACCACACAGAACAAAACCATTAGCCACACTGGTGCTTGGGTCATGTTTTGATAGATACCCAGGAAAACCCTAAGCAGAGATGCCAGACAATCCAAACACGCAACAACAACTCGAGAAGTGCATGAGTCAGCTGGCGAACTTGTTGACACAGGATACTGTGAAAGCCAAAAGCGTGGATGTAGCATTCCCCTGTCACCATTTGGGGAAGCCTCTATTTCCCTGACTACTGCAAGGTCCAAGGGTATAACTGGGGAAAGGATCACTCTGTGCTTGCTTGTTCCTTATGCTTATACTTAACCACGTTTACTGACTGCTGCCCAAGACACAGAACAGGGCCACAGGGACATTTTGCCTGGCTGCAACAGCTGCTGCAATTGAAATTATGGGATGAAAAGCTTTAGATTCCTTGCCTAGATGAAGGCAAACAGATTGGATGAATTATCATCAGAAATGGGTCTGAACTGACACATGGGAAGCACTCAACATTTCATCAGAGACGGAGCACTGTTTATGGGTACGTGTCCTGTCCTTATGACAAGATGAACCAAAGCCACAGATTTAGACAATCGCCAATAAAAAAAATCTGGGTGTGGCCCCTAATGGTAGAGATGCCACCAAGCATGTTGTGCAAAGAACAAAGCAATGCCACCCTGAAAGCATAGATGTCTCTTACCCTTGGCTGTAATGCAGCTTCCTGTCAATACGATGTCTGACTATCAGAAAAGCAAATCCAAGAGCTGTGCTGCTGTACAAAATGGGTGATCACACCTTTTTGTTATCTATCAGACAAATGAAGAAGCCATCAGCCACGTCCACCGTTTGCTCTGCCACTGCTCCCTAGATCCATATTTGTAGAAACCTACCATAAGCAGTGTGGGAACCTGGCCTTGGGGTCATGGACCTGACCGTACCCTGGGCAGAGGGGAGATGAATGTCCTGCCTGATCTCTCAGTCTCCCAGCAGTTTGGGACACAACGTGCGTCCCAGTCTGCAAGCAGAACCATGTTCAGATCCACTGCTGTGGGGTCACTGACGCCTTTGGGGACACTTTGGTTAAGCTTTAATGAGCGAAAACAGAGCTTCTTTAGACAAAAGGCTATGGGATACTCACTATTGGGCCGAGTCGTTAAGTTGATATTCCCGGGACCGGTTGAAGCATTCTTGGATCCCAGAGTCTGCCCAGAGTCTCATCATAGCTGACAGCAGCTCTGGAGAGAAGGGCTCTGTGTCCTCCATCCGACTAACGACATCGCAGACCATCTTGGCATCAGCCTGCAGGAGAAAGAAACATGAAGTCACATACAAGCTCAAGGCAGAATTGGGAGCCAGAGATTTCAGAAACAGTTCACCAAGCCATCAGGAGTAAAGAGCCTGTGTTTCTCAGGATGGAGCTTTAGGATCCACACTGTGTGATCCAGCAGAAAGGGCAAAAGGAGGATGGAGCAAGGAAGCCACAAGGAAAGAGGTTATTTGCACAGTCAAAAAACATTTCTGTTCAGCAGACAAACCAGTCAGCACTGGGTATGTGCAGAGCTTCTTGGGAACAGAAGGAAATTCATGTATGTGTACATCTATTTCCAATGGTTAGCAAAGTAGCACATAGCCTGCGATGGCATCTGGCTGACTGCTGCAGCAGAGGCTGTTTGTGTCAAAAAGCCAGCAGAAAGGCTCCAGAAACAATTGTTTTTCAGATACTGGTTTATGGCTTTTTCTAAATTCTTACTGTTTCCTACGAGTCCCTGCTACAGGGGCTAATTCCCCTTCACACAGGCCACCTTGGCTGGCTGTCGCGCTTTGTGACTCAGGGAGAGGAATCTCCCGTGGTTAGGGAGTATGGCAGGGAGGGCAGGGCCAGCTGGCATTTTCGGATGGAATCTTTTTTGGTGAGAAAAATATGATTTGCTGGAACAGCAACTTTTCCTGCAGGACAGTGGTCTGACACAACTCAGGTCCGGAAGATGTCTCAGATTTAGGATGGGAATGTCTAGACAGACTTGGAATAGCTGAGGCCAGCCCTATAGTAACAACCCACAGTGGCTGATGTGTCACTCATTTGCAAAGCAGGACACCCAAATTCATGACTCCCCCTCTGCTTGCTCTGCAGTAAGTGGATATCCCACACCCCCACACCCCCCCTGACTCCCTAAACCCCAGGGTTATTGGCTAATGTGCAGAGTTTTTCTTTCATTGCTTTGTTACTTGAAAATTTTGGAGAAGTCTCATCTTTCTACCAGCAGAAACAAACCCAATTATTATTGCTGTAATTAACTGGAAAAGAGGAGCTCTTATTCTGTATGTGTGCTTACAGCAAACCACTGAAGACAACCTCCTTGTGTCATTACCTTTTCTTATTTACATATTGCTATTGCTGTGTTTGACTGTCTCCTTGGTCAGCTACAGGGTTCACAAGAGCACCAAGCCAGCCTCGTCTCCTCGACTCTGCTGGGGAATCACATCATTTGAGTCCCTGCTCCTTAAAACACGGCTGCAAACAAGCATCGCTTTGCTGAGTGACTTGGATTTCCCTCTCCTCCCAGCAGCTCTTGTGCTGGAAGATCCCACCTTCATTTGTTGATGCAGTATGAAAAGGAGATGGAAAATAAACTGAGCTGCCCTAGGGATGGCACTGGGGTGTGGGAACACTTCTCTGCTGGGTCTAACCTACTCAGACAAACACCAGTGGAAGTCTTCACCTTCCAGGGTGTTTGGTCTAAATCAGTAAATGCTGCCCAGAAACACGAGTCTCGCAAAGAGGAGAAGCCCATGCTTTGTTGTCACTGACCTGTGGACAAACAATCCTCAGTGACCCCTCCCTTGTGCACAAAACCACCGGCAGTTGGGTGTGCGGCTCCTGGGGAGCTTGCACGTTATCCATTATCTGCTGGAGGAGCAGAGCTTCCCCCCGATCCCACATCCGTCCTGGCTCCGTCCCATTTCTCTGCCCTGCCAAGTGCTGCTGATGCTCCTGCCTCATGCTCAGATTTAGCAGCTCTGGTGGGAACAGACCGACTGCTGAATGGGTCGCTCTCTCTGGGGACCACCTGAGAGTTGCAGGCTTTGTGCCAAAGCGAACACATTATTTCTTAGGTCACAGGCATGATTAGAAGTGGAGAAGCAGGGAAACTGAAGAGCAGCACAATAACCTAATTGCATGGGTGTGAACGACAATGTGTGTGACATGGCCTGCACGGCCAGGACCAGAACTCCTCTGCAGCCTCTGTTTATCGAACCCTGAAATTGCTGAAAAATTGCAGGGCACCAAACCACTAGCACTGGAGATTGAAGCTGCCGGAGACTGCAACGCTCAGAGGAAGAGCCTCAAGTCCCCTGAACATCCAGTGTTTATGGGCTGCAGAAATCTCAGCACTATGTGGAAACACCATCCCATAAAACTTAATGGGGTGGAGTCTCCATGCTTTGAAGACTTTATGAACATAAAGTCTTTCTCGCAGAATGCTTAACTTCATATTTCAGTGCCCAGGAATCCTCCCAGCCCCCTGTACAGACTCTGCTGGTGTTGAGAAATGGTACTGGTGACTCACACCTCAAAGCCAAGACAAACGAAGAACCTTGAAGAGTTCAGCTAATTTCAAAAGCTTGTCTTCTGCCCCGAGTGCTTCGTGAGCTCAGTGAATATTCATAAATTGTCAGTACAGTTTGCCTGCCTTACTGGAGCTGTAATTCTTCTCTTTTACGGACTTTTAAGTAACACAAAACCTGCTAATGGCCAGTCTGCTGGGCCTTGGTTATTTGTGCATGGGTGGTGCAGAAAAAGCTTTCAGTCAGGTAGGAAAGAGGTGTTTTGTGTGTTATCTTGACTACTGGGTGGGGTTATAGGTATAAGTCACAGATCTGTCCGTCTGTCTGTGACGGAAAAACACATTTGAAGCCCTCCAGCTGTTACGGGCAGGGTCTGGGCTTCTTCTGAGCTGTGTGGACTTAACTGAAGGTTGCTTTCTGAAAAGCAGAGGGGATGTCACGGTTGTCACGTTTTCTGTGCCGGGAAATAGCTGCCTCACCTTTTCCACTACTGAGACGTGTGCCAGTCCCCTGTGATTGAACAGGAGGGACCAGGGACAGGCGTCTCTGCCCATGGTTACCAGGTCTGACTGGGCCAGAAGCGGGGCTGAACTCGAAGGGCAGAGGATTATTTTGGTCCACGTTCCTCTGCAGTGCCTGGAGGTCCCTTTTTGGGATGGGAAAGGTTGTCCTCCTGCAGTGCGGGCAGCTGCCTGCAGAGAGTCGACAGGCCAGAGCAGAAGGAGCTTGTAGGAAAGTTTATTGCTCCGGCTGAATGGTAATAAAAATATTCCAGGCGTGGTTTTATTTTGCAGAGTGAACCATTGAACTCTCCATTTTAGAGACCCAGAAAAAGGTGAAATGAATATTTTTAAAAACACTCCTCCCCCCTACCAAGGATGAAACCCCTCCGCCAAGGAGTATGGGACCATCCAGGAGTTCAGGCATTTGTTAGATGATTTAACGAGCAATTAAGGAACCAAGAAGAGACGATACCCCTTTCTTTTCTCACTCTCCAGGCTGCATCTCAAGCTGGGAATGACATTAAAATCTTCAGCCCCCCCTGGGCCCAGCAGGTAGATTTTTAAATACTGCCTGATTGACTTTTCCCTTCCCACCTCCCCTGGGTCTGGTGCTCCCACTTTTCCCGAGGTGAGAGGAGCCGAGCCTCCTGCCATGCTCTGCCTCTGTACTGAAGCCAGCAATTAGATAAAGCCAAACAAAACAGACCAACCATCCCCCACTCCCCCCGCCCTGCAGTTCCCATCCGACGGGGTTTTCGTTAATGAATATCACGGTGGTATTTCAGCTACCTTGGGAGCTAAAAATAGGCAGCGCTCTGCCCCTGGGACTGCTGGAGGAGGCACAGAACGGTGAAGGCTGCGTCTCTCTTGTTGCTCCCTCTCCCGGCCCCTGGGTACAAGCTGGCTGGGAGGAAGGTGAGGGGTTGGGCTGGTCTCCTTCAGGCTGGTTCTTATCCGGAGGGAGCATCCCACCCAACCCCCAGATCTTTCCCATGCCACTTCCCAACAGCTTGTGTTTTCCATAGCAGGCCAAAGCCTAACCCCAGAGCCGACTGCCTTTGGGTTACTGGTTCCCGAGGGCAGGATTTGTTCAGCTCTGTGTCACTCCTGGGTGCCGGACGTCCCCACCTGCAGTGGCCTGGGGAAACGGCCAAGCTCAGAAACCCTGTGATGGGAAACTGCACACTCAGGCTTTGGCCGTCAGGCTAAAAGACCAAATAACCCTTTGTTTGAGAGCAAACCTCCAGGGTCAGTGAAATCCATAGGCAGAGGTGAACAAGGGGCTTGTTAACTCAGCGGGACGTCAGCCCGTCTCCTTTCTAACCCTGCTTGTCTACCTTTGCAGCAGGCACGTGGTATAAATCCAGTTCATAAGGGCATCTGTTTTCTCACTAACCTGGACATATCGGCAGTTATTTAATTGTCTCCCATATGTCGCTGTCACCAAGCGCACAGTCTGCGCTCAGCACGCAAACTTGTGACTCCGCCAACAACAGCCACATAGCCCAATTAATTTGTTACCTGGCTGGAAGGGAGAGGGGCTCTTCCTGGCAGCCTGACATTACTGGCAGTCATGTTTGTCTCTGCAAGCTACTTATTTTTCATCATGCAGATACAGACCACCCCAAATTATTTGTTCCTCAGCACTGGGCATGATCTGTGCCCGTGAAGGTAGCGCAGAGCTGCTCCTGCCCTGCCTGCCATAGAGCTGCACTGGAGCGGGACTCGGGTACCTCTCACTCTGACCATCCCAGGGTAAATCCTGGCTCCGATCCTTTGAAAATGCCGGGACACTAACAAGGGGACCACTTTTTCTTTTTTTTTTTCCCCCCCAAAAGTGATAGTTTTCTGGCAGTGGACAATTTAAGGGAAAGCCTTACGTGAAGCTATGTGGTACAAATCTGCGAAACGCTATCGAGCTGCACTGACTTACACCCGCAGGAGAGCTGACCCAGCGTGTCTCACTGTGCTGTGCTTTCCTTTTGGTGAACAAAATCCCAGTAAATATCATTGTTGCTGTTCTTTGCTCTGGTCAATCATACTTGTCACTCAGCCTATCTCAAAGGTTAACACAGGCGCAACTTTCTCTGGTGGCTGGTTGTACTGAAAGCTGCATCTCGGAACGTTTTGGAAAATCCTGGCGGTGGGGGGGAAAGACAGGCATTGCATTTTGCTGGCGGTGCACAGCAAATCAGAGACGCGGTATTTGTCATCAGCAAACCGACCTCG